TCATCAAGTCCATGCCTCAGAGACTGCAAGTCGTTATAAAAGCCAAAGGTGGTGCAACTAAATACTAGTGATGTGTTTTTTATGTCAAACAACCAGATGCTTCTTGATGTTCCAAGATCCAGACTTAGGAGCAGAGGTGATCGTGCTTTTGCTGTATCTTCTCCCAACCTATGGAACAACTTGCCCATTCACATTAAATCCATTCATAGCTTGGAAAACTTCAAAGTGCTTCTTAAGGCTCACTTTTACTCTAAGGCATTTAATTAATATTAGACCTGACATTGTAACTTTTATCTGTTCTTATTATTGTTTGTTGTAATTTATTATGTATTTCAATAATTTTTGTGTTGTTTGTAGACTGCTGTGCAGCACTTTGGTGCAGCCATTGGCTGTTTTTAAAGCGCTTTATAAATAAAGTTTTACATTGACATTGTATTTTGAATGGTCTTTTGTTTATCTGTTTTTCATGATTCCATACTTTTTTCCTCAGAATTGAGTGATTCCATACTTTTTTCCTCAGAATTGAGTGATTCCATACTTTTTTCCTCAGAATTGAGTGATTCCATTTTTTTTTTTTCCCTGTGCTTGGTCAGTAAAAGAAACGTTCACTGACTTCCACAATGTTTTCTCTTCATTTCTTTGAGTGTTCCTGAAAGCCAACAAGTTGCACTTTGGAATGACCTTATTATTGTATCATGTTTTTGATCTGAGTTTGTTTTACAGAATGAAAAAATGACTGAATGAGTGCTCATCCAAGACTGGTGATTCCATACATTTTRCCAGGGGTTGCAGTAGGAAGGAGTTGTTGGTGTAAGATTCTCTGCTTAGAGCAGAGCTGCTCTGTTTTGTTTGGGATTTTATCTCAAGGTCTTACACTGAGGCCTGCTGAGTGCTGCACCTGATTGGAGTCAGAAGATTGAGAATAAAGGTTTGACAAGAAATCCAGCAGATCCCTGTTTATTTGGACATACCGTTTTGAACAAYGCATTTTTCCCTACACTATTAATAATTAAAGGCCAAGCATTTTGTGACGGACTGCATCTGTCTGATCCCATTTCAAACTAGAGTTTTAAACTAAAATTATCTCATAAGAAGGTACAAACCTATAGCTCTTTTGGTCAAGTCTTGCGAACATTATACAGATTAGTTACATTTTACCTTCGACTAAACATGAAACATCATGTTCCTTGTCTAATTGTTACAGCTAAGCACCGCTAACAGACAATAACTGAGCTTTATGTATTTCATGCATAGAAACTGTTTTTTGTGGTGCACGTGGCACAGAAAATGCTRTGATGGACTGCATTTGACCTGCGGGCYTWGAGTTTGACACATTTGATTTAGGGTGAAATTAACAGGCTTTACAACTATTTAAGGTTTATTGCCAAGAAGTATTAYTACAAGRRAGAAATRGTAAACCAATCACAAATTTCATTACTTTTTGTGCTAAGTTTATATATTTTAGTTAGGATAGTAGACATTTAAAAAAATGCCTATATTTACTTGTTTGTTGAATTTTCTGGTTTATCCAGGAACCGTGAGGTTTCAGAGAATGTGCTGGCTGTGGTCCTTGCTGTCTTGGTGGCCTTTCTGGGTTCAGTGCTGCTGGTCCACCGTTTTTTCACAGACATCTGGGTTTTTCAGTTCTGCCTTGTCATTGCAAGTTGCCAGTATTCCTTACTTAAGGTAAGCATTTGACTTGGTATCATAACATTGTTGGAATTGACTTGAAAAMGTGAACTAGAGAAGCACTAGCTATGTTGACATGCACAAAATTCTTTGATAGGTTTGAAATGTATTCGGATTAAATAATCAGAATGTATCGTTTACATGGGCACAATC